CATATCATTTTGAGGGCCAGCCAGGTAGTTCGCGACCCCACGGAGCCCTCCCGTACGGCGAACATGGATTTTATTATCCTGGCCAGGCGGGCAGGACGATGCCCCCGGCACCAGGACCGTACGATCAGCCGGGATGTGCTTTTCCCTGCTACGCAGGGAAGTCGTTACCCCCTGCGCACGCGTACCATTACCTTATGGTCAGCAGGGGTATGCTGATGATGAGTCGTACGGCGAGAGGGAGCCGGGTCCAGAGGACTATGACTCGGACGACTCTTCAGATGATCAGGACCACGCACAGCCTACGGGTCCTAACCACCCTCGTCCTACTGTACAGCCAGTTCGTCCGGTACAGCCGGTTCTACAGCATGTTCGTCCGGTACATGCTGTTCGTCCACACAGCCTGCTCCTCAACGACAGGCTGGGGGGTGTTTTGGCCCATCTGCATCCTCATCAGGTAAATAATTTACTTATTTATTGTTGTTTAACATAAATTATTTTCACTTAATCATAACAAATTATCGGTACTGTTAGAAAAGTATTATCGTACTGCTCCTCAACTACAGTATAATTATTTTGTAATTTAGGGTAAGTTGAATAAATTGTAATTAATTATAAATTCAAAAAATAATATGAATAATTATAAATTATATATGCTTATAATAATAACGTAAAATGTAAAATGTAACGTAACTAATAAAATATGTTTTGTTAAATATATTTTATTTAATGCATCTGCCAGCAAGTCAATATATACAGATATGTTGTATTTTAATGCAGGTACTAGCAAACGAGCTAGGACCGATGATGATGCACCTTAGATCGTTAGAGGCCCAGTGCCCGGTGGGCCCATTGATGGGAGTGTCATCCCTAGCTTTCTTGGGCACGTCGCCTCCCGCATGTGGAGTGGGAATTTTAGGGGGCCGCTGAAATGCCACAACAGACTGCGAGCGATCGAGAATCTGAAGGCTTGGCGTGAAGAGATGTCTTCCGATGCGGGAGCTCTTCTCGACCAGACCGGGCTGTCACATTTGGTCGACTCCATGCACACCCACTTGGACACCCCACTCCTTTCTGCTTTTGTGGAGCGATGGCAGCCGGATACTAACTCGTTTCACATGCCTTTTGGTGAGATGAGCATCATGCTGCACGACGTCCGGGCTATTTTGGGCGTTCCAGTGGAGGGAGTCGTGGTCGCTGAGAACCCGGATTCGGACGCCTGCCATGGGCTCTGCATGTCGATACTTTCGGTCACCAAGGCCGAACTCATGAGTTCGTTCTGGCAGCGTGGTTCGGTGTCCGAAGCCGCCATTTCGGGGGCATTCAGGGGGAAACGCCGGTCGGCTAGGGATGAGGCGGGTGCCTGGATGTTGGTGATGTTGGCTACCACTTTATTCGTCGACATGAGTGGTAGTAGAGTGACCCCCAAGCTCCTGCACCAGGTGCTCGACGGATTGGATTTGATTGGGGGTTACTCATGGGGATCGGCTACGCTGGCATACATGTACAGACAGCTAGGTATTGCCAGCCGAGGGAACTCTGCCCAGATGTCGGGCTGCTTGACTCTTCTGCAGTCCTGGATATATGAGTATTTCCCCGATTTTCGACCCCCGGGGCGTCTACCCATCGGTCCTGACTGTCTCGCACGATCACGCTCGTGGAGCGTAGGGAATGCGCCACGGTCAGACGATCGGCTCACAGCCATCCGTCGGCGCCTCGACAGACTCACTGCCTCCGATGTACGTGAATTTATTTTATTTAAATTTAGTTACCCGTTATTTAAAATAACATAATTATTTTTATAAATGCTCTTATGCAATTGTGAACATGTGCAATGGTTGCCATACGGCAGCTCCAGCCCAGATGCGATAGAGCCGAGGACTTTTTATAGCGGATGGATTCGATACCGCGATTTCGTCGAGCCGTACTTGCCTGCGCGGTGTCTGCGTCAGCTGGGGTATGTCCAGACTGTCCCTCCCCCTATATTCCCGCCAATCAGTGCAGTACGTGCTTGGGAGTCTAGGAACTACAAGGTTGAGCATTCTGAGGCTGGTGCAGTATCCCTCTAGACCCAGTTCCCGATGTCTGGGACGGTCAACACAAGTATGTTGACCCACACCACACAGGATCGCGGGGAGGCAACTGAGGATTACCAGTAGTGGTACAGTCGGGTTTCCCATCCGACTCTCATGGGCGAAGAGCTGCCAGACGAGAACGAGGTCCCAACGCGTGTCAATACCGAATATGTAAGTTGGTTACTAAATTTTAATTAATGTTAATTCATTACAATAATTTTTTTTTAATAAATTTTAGTCTTATCTTTTTATTCTTTCATTTTTTTAGTGGGTGGACCGTCTTTTGGGCATTACATCGACATTGCAGCAGATTGTTCCAGACTGTCCGGAGGCGGCGGAAGTCGAAGAACAGCTTGCTAAGTTTAAGTTGGATTACGACAATGCCCAATAATGATGTAATGAATGTTTTTTTTTAATTATTATTGTAAAACATTAAGTTGAATGATTTTTTTTTTTTTTGCTAAACTTAAGTTGAACTGATTCATTTATTTATTTTTATTTGCTAAACTTAAGTTGAATGAGAAGCGTCATACCATAACTGAATAATATCGTTCTTTTATTCAAGAACGATTTGTTTGAACAGTATACCACAATTGCAACCTAGACTGGTACTGATGCTCCCAACCCACAATCGATTGATCTCGGTAACGGAACCACATGTTATGAATAGGCGGTAATGGACAATCATCAGTCAAATCTAAACGAATGTAGTGTTCTACGGTACCAAGATGACAAATGGCAATCTCACGACATGGTCCTCTAGCCGATGATCGTGCAGTGAGAGGCAACACTATGGTGCTGAATAAGTCGTGCTGCCCACCTTGTGGACCAGACCTCAAATGAACGACAACCACATTAAATAGGGTCGCAACGGCATAGAGGTCCTGCGGAACTTCGAACCAGTGAGTCAGTCCACAAGGGCCTCTGGCCCACCTTACGCGACGGAGTCTGGCCTCGATATCTCTAAAATAGATGTACTCGTACAATTCAGGGTGGTTGTCAACCTCCTTCGCAATGTTTTCTCTTGCATCTGCCCAGTACTTCTGATGACCATACATGTGACTCGCGATGACCCGAAATCCGCAGTTACCATCCGCATCCACATTCAGGTAACTCACTATGTAGTCCAACATATGCCAGGGGATACATTGCCACAATGAAAATCCAAATATATTTGTCGGTCTAAACTCTGCAATAAATATCATAATAATTTCACGTCAATTTATATAATCATATAAATACTTTAATTAACGCTCAGCCGTATTTAAAAAAAAATGTATGACCTTCATCCCCTTGTGACTGTTGAGAAGACGAACTTGTCTGTCCACGCGAAGAATTGGTCGTACGGCTCGATTTCCGACCTCGCGATTTATCGTTGAAAGCAGATAGTTTACGCTTAGTTGAATTAGTTTTCTTGGGACGACCTCGCGGGTTATCCTTAACCTCAGGTTCCGCATAATCCTGTTGGTCTGGGTAAAGATGACTGTACATGAACTGATTCACGTACCGCATCGTCGCGGGATCGCGGGTTTCAACCTCAGTCACAAGCGTCTGAAAGAACGCCGCATCTGACCATGCAGCGTTGCTCGCCTGACTCGGATGACCAGTCCCTACAAGTATACGATAAAAAAGTCAATGAATTAAAACAAATAATGTATTTTAATACAACATTATAAATAAAACATTAATTTTAAATTACCTGGCTCTAATATCTCGAGCGTTCTCCAGAACTGGTGAATCATTCCGAGATCAATCGGAACGTCGAAATCATTTGCGTTACGGAGGAGACAGGCACAAGGAAGTCTATGAGTGAGCTGCAATACACAACCGCAACTAGTGTAAACATCGGTGTCCAACTTGTGCATCCTCGTAAGCTCAGCGTCCAATAAACTCAGACAGTAATGCGAGACCCTCAGTATCACGCTCGCGAAACGGATTCCCTTATACCGTGTATTCTTCTTAGATCTCGAGGCCTCAAGCGCCGTCCTGATAATACGTTACATAACGTTAGATTATAATTAATTAATGCAGTAATATAATTACGCATTTAAAAATTGCAGTACGTACTTGATTTCAGTCACTTGATTATCGATATGCTTATTAATCTTCTACCAAACCGTATCGAGCGCGCCGGTGGACGTCTGAAGCCACTCCTTCAACACAGAATGGGCACTCTCCACCCTACAGGAAGTTGTGTTTCCAAAATGTGTCACTCGGTTGGTCCAAACCTTCACAAACTTCTCACGGTGCACTAACCATGTGCCCTCCACATACCGTATCACCTCTGGATTGTTCGAATATTTTGCGCGCAGCTCGGCAACGGCATCGTTGTAGGCATCGAACGTACTGGCCTCTGCAATCGCCTTCCACGTACTGTGCGTGAAAATCTCCGAGAATTTTTTATTCTTCCCAAATAGTTGGTAGGTTTTGGCTTCCACATCTTTGTTGATGTGCCACGTGCAGAGTAAGTGGGATGATTCAGGAAAATGCCTCTGAATAGGAGTGAGTAAACCCAACTCTCTGTCACTGACAACAACATAAGGATATACGCTTTGGCCTATCAGTAGTCTCAACTTCTCTAGAACCCAGTCGTAACTGGTCTCTTTCTCATCCCTGATGAGGGCATACGCAATTAGGAAGTTCTGGTTGCACGGCGTCATCCCAATCATCTCGACCAACGGCATCTTATACCTGTGCAAATGTG